AACAATAATGCACTATTAGTGCAACACAGTCCTTCATTAATAAAGTCAAACTAAAACCTCTAATTAATCTCTTAGAGTGAACATAATTTATTCAAATAAGGCATGTTTACCTTCCATGTGTGTCACTGAATATAAAGTGAGTCATCAGCATTTATATGTTCTAACTTACATGTTAGATTTGATGGTTATGTGAAGTTACTGTGTGCATTCAAGCCTCATGTGTCACTGTGATCATCACCAGCAGTAGATTGGATCTTGTTATCAGTGCCTTTTTAATTTTATATTGTAACTTTTATTTGTGTGTTAATTATTTATCACATTATTTAGTCAGTTGGTGTTTAGGCAGTTTGTAGTTTGTTTCAGTGTGTTTCTAATATAATCCAGAGAGTTACAGCATGTAAACAGATGTGTAATTGAGGGTACACGTGTATTAATATGTGTGGCCACAAGAGGTCACTATAACCTGACTGAGTTAAGTCAGGCAGTACTGTGGTGTCTCGTGCTGTAGTGTGTTGGATGCCTATCAAACTCTTTTATAACTTTGTGCTGAAGTTTATGAAATGATGGTATTCCTGTTCAGACATTACTGTAATTATTACTGTTGTATGTGACTTACGTTGACTGTTCTCTCAGTTCATAACTTTCATAAAGGGGTGAGTAATGTCATGATAATATCGGTATATTTTTTAATTAACTGGATTTTTGCCATATTGTGATATTGTAATCAAGCATGTGTGGCTCGCACTACATGGCCTATAAAGCAGAGAGTTGTACCAGAGTTAGCACTGAGACCAGTTAGTTCCTAAAGAGGAGCTACATCAGTAGTGTGGAGGTTTTTCAGATACAGAAGGTCAGACTCTAAACGACTTTTATTAGCAAAACCTGTAAAAATACTGTGACCACAAAAGGCGGCAACACATCAAGTTTATTTCACCACCTAAAGCAAAAGCACCTGCATGAGTACGAGGAGTGTCAGTCAGAACTGTGGGCCCCATCCGAGAGGATTTCCTCAGAAATACCTAAATACCTGATTCACTAATGTCTCAGTCAGCGTCTCAGCGCTGTGGGGAGAGAAGCAAATGGATAAACCTGACGCTTCGTGAAAATCTGTCCACTTCTCTGAGAATAGCTGTCAAACCGTGTGAGTCAGGTTAACAACACAGTCTATGGCTTTGTGTGACCAAGGTCTGATGGGTAAAGGAGCTAGTTTTGCAGTTGGTAGTGTCTTAGGTGTTTTACACTCAGAGCAGATGGAACAAAAAGCAACAAACTTATGGACGTCTTTATTCATGGATTCCCACCAGTATGGATTAGAGAGTAATTGTTGAGGTGTGAGTTTTCCCTGGGTGGCCTGTTGTGAGGGAAGAATGGGCCCATGTAATTAGACTGTTGTGGAAAAGATCTGGTACATAAATCTTTCCAGTAGGAATGTTCTTGATCTCATCATCTATTTCAAATTAAAAAAAACAGATGAAATTGTAACACTTGAGGGAAGAATTTTCTGAGTTCTGCTCTTTCTTTTCTACAGCATCAACTTGATGAACTCTAGATAACGCATCAGCTTTAGTATTGCAAGATCCAGAGCAGAATGTGATGCTAAAATGAAATCTAGAGAAAAACAGAGACCATCAGGGTTTACGAGATTTAAGATGTTTAGCGTTACAAAGGTATTCCAAGTTCTTGCGGTCAGCAGTGGTGGACGAAGTACACAAACCATGTACTTGAGTTAAAGTAGAAATTCTCTTTAGACCTCCACTTGAGTAAAAGTACAAAAGTATTTGCCTTCAAATGTACTTAAGTATCGAAAGTAAAAGTACTAAAAGATTAATTATGGTTCTAATGTCCTATTATCATTTTTATAACAAGACTCTTGCTTCATCAACTCATTTTAGGTGAAAATACTCCAGTGTCACTCTTGGTAAACCAGTCTTTTAATAGAATGTCATTAATTAGTGACGCTGATGTCTGTTAAAATTATCATAAGCACAAAATACTCAAGGCAAACAATTTCCATTAGGTAGAACCGAGTGGCTGAAATAACTTTTTACAAACAAGCAAAGTTTCAGTTTAAGATTTATTTGCAACTTAGTTACGAGTTTAAGTTTAGTAAAAACTTGCTTTAAACTCAGATTCACAAAAGAGTTTTCCTTTACTATACTGCATCTGTAGGTCTCTGTTCATTAAAATAAACTAACAAAAACAAATTTACTATAAAATGAAAGTGTTTGTATAAATAGAAAAAAAGACACGACAGTCACAACTGCATATGAGTACGTATTTCTATATTGTGGTCTATTTACACAAAGTTAGGTTAGTTCATCATTTATGTTGAATAGACTCTCCCAAAATTTTACACTGCTGCACTGGGTCGGTATGTCAAAGTGCGCGCTGTGCCCTGATTGGTGTTCTTGCTTCATGCTTCTTTCGTTTCGACATGTTATGTTTTATTCACACATAAACCAAAAGGAACGACAGATTTGGTGTAATGTAGTGGAGTAAAAAGTAAGATATTTTACTTTGAAATGTAGTGGAGTGAAAGTAAAAAGTCACTCAAAATGGAAAAACTTCAGTAAAGTACAGATACACGAAAAAACTACTTAAGTACAGTAACGAATTACATTTACTTAGTTACTGTCCACCACTGGCGGTCAGTCAGTACTATGTAGGGATGATCAGCATCCTCTAGCCAATGTCTCCATTCTTCTAAGGCCAGTTTGATTGCTAACAATTCTCTGTTTCCTTTCCCAGAGTTTCTTTCTGTAGGTGTGAGCTTATGAGAGTAAAATGCTATAGGAGGCAACTTAGGGGAATAATTAAATAAAATTAAATTACAGAAAAGCTTTATTTGCCTGTGCTGACCAATTAAATTTTCTAGGACTGCCTTTAAGTAATGTGGTAAGGGGCGCAGCAATACTACTGAAGTGTCTATAGAAATCAGCGAACCCTAGGAACCTTTGTAGAGTCCTGACTGAGATGGCCTGGGCCAGTTTACAGCTGCATCAGCTTTATGATCCTCCATAACAACCGACCTGGAGCTGATAAGGTATCCTAAAAAAGTGACTGACTGAAGGAACTCACATTTTTCACCTTTAACAAACAAATTATTCTCTAGCAGCAGCTTTAAGACTAAACAAACTTGTTCCACGTGAGTCTCAAGGTCTCAGGAGTAGATGAATATCATGATGAATTTTCCAATTCAGAACTTCCATTCATCTCCCTCTTTTATTCGTACTAGGTTGTATGCACTTCTTGGGTCTAATATGGTGAAGTACTTGGCTCTCTGTAACTGTTCGAGGCTAACGGGGATGAGAGAAAGTGGATAAGGGTATTTCTTTGTAATCTGGTTAAGTCCTCTGTAATCTATGCAAGTGTGCAAACCTCCATCTTTTTTCTTAACAAACAAGAAACCAGAAGCTGCAGGAGAAGAAGAAGGTCTAATGAGACCCTGATCTAAGGCCTCCTGAATGTACGTGTCCATAGCACATTCCTCCTCCAGAGTTAGAGGGTAAATTCTGGATTTATGAAGGACTTGGTTGTCAGTAAGCTCTATAGCACAGTCATGGGGTGATGAGGAGGTAGTTTGGTCCCATTCCCTTTACTCAAAACTTCTCTGAGGTCTGCATACTCAGGAGGGATGTCAACGAGGGCCTCAGCATTAGAACTTTCTATTGAAATGGACCTGAAGGCTAATGTGGGTGGTCTAATACAGGTCTGGTGGCAAAATTCTGACCATGCTAATACTTCATCTTCTGATCAAGAAATGGTAGGGTTGTGTTTTTCTAACCAGGGCAAACCCAAAATAATATCGAAAAACCAAAACCAAAAAGGAGAGAAGTTCACTGTGGAGAGCACTCGTGTTCAATTGCACCGGTTTGTTTTTTGTGGGATAGTTCCAGCTCCAACAGGACCCCCGTCTAATGCTGCAATTCTTAAAGCGGTCTTCAGAGATTCCCCTGGAATCTGCAGGTCCTCTATGAGTCGTGCATGAACGAAGTTTCCCTCTGCACTGGAGTCAATCAGGGATGAAACAACAGCAGAAACCTGATGACAGTTCACCATGACAGGTAGAAGGAAAGACTTAAAAACCAACTCCTTTGTGGGAACACTCTCCACATTAGCACATGTGCTTTCCAGGGGTCAGCGCCGGAGATTTGTGGGGACGGACCCGGCAGTCACACAGAATATGACCAGCACTGCCACAGTACATGCACAGCCCCTCTCTCAGCCGACCGAGCCTCTCCTCCTTGGACAAACATGATGAATCACATTGCTCAGGTTCCTCTTAGTCCTTATTATCACCAGAATCACGTGGTGCCCTTGAACATGAGACTGTCCAGAACTGTTGGCTCGTTTTGATGTGATGAGTTGGTCTAAAGCCAAATTGTCATCCTTGTAAGCTAAATCAGTTTGAATTTTGAAATTAAACTGAGTGATTATGGCTCAGTTTCATCAACAGTTCACCACCTATCTTGCCCTCATAATGGTGATCAAAGTTCGGAATTCCTTCAAAAACTGGTCATAGATTGTGAACCTGAGGCCAGCTTGCAGTTGCCCATTCTAATACTCTATCAGCGAAGTGTGAAACCAAAAAGGAAATCTTTGCCTGGTCAGAACTTGCAGAGGAATTATTAAAAAGACTGAACACTGGAGTAAAAAACATGACATTGGTCTGGTTTTAATCAAATGTGTCTGGTTTATTCACAGGGAAGAGTGAACTGGAAGATTCCACAGGAGTAGCAGGGCTGGCAGGGCTTTCCACTTGTTTAGCAGTGTAGCAGGTGTAATAATTTACTTTAATTAATTCATTTACATATATTTATATACATTTTTTATTTAAATTTAAGTTACATTATTTGTTATTAGTTTCACTTGAAATCCCTTCCTCAAGTTCTACCTTGCAAGTTCTTAACTGTTCTTCATGGCTTATGGGAGTACGTATGTGTTTTGTCCTTTCTCAGCACCTGTAGTTTTTCTCCCTTTGTCGTGTTGGCGCTGTTTTTTTTTCAGTCTGCAGTGAACCTGACTGAGAGAGGTGCGTTTGTGAAGTGCTCTGTTCTAATAACTCATTGTAGTGTTTTAAGATGGAGTTTTTGTGAGTATATTTGTGTATTTTACCACTATGAATATAGCGATATGAACTACAGAGGTGCAAGTAACGTTTTTGAGCTTTAATTAGCAGAGCGATAAAATGGTTAATATGCTTAGTGTTTTAGCTCCCCCCTGTGGTAGTTGAAGGGCGTTTTGCTTCCTTGCCTTTGTGCCTTATATTCGTATTGTTTCTTTTGCTAGGCATTATCTGAGAAGCTATTGACGCCAATTTATCATTCTGCTTTGTTCTAAATGATTTGTACACAGGTGAGTACTCCCATAGCCATGTTTGAAACGTTAGTTAAAGTGCTTATTTTCAGTGGATGTACTGTGTGGTTAAAATGGCGGATGCCATGCGAGTTTTTTTATATTTTTTTCTCTTTTTTTCCCTTTTCCCCCTTTTTCTGTTGAATAAATAATTCTAGATACACCTATTCATCAGCTGATTTATGGTAGATTTATAAGAAATGCAGAGGGGAAACCTCTGCGATGTCATGTTAAGAAAACCTACTGAGTTTGCACTACAGTTTTATTATGTATATGCTCAGTTGTATGTATCTGTGTCAGAGTGTGTTCCATGGTAATATAGTGTGTTTTTAATATTGAAAATTATTACTGATTGGAAATTAATGTGACACATAATAATTACTGCTTATGGCTTACAGTCGGTTTAATAACTATATGCCTATATAGATATATATACTATTATATGTATGTATTTTTTTTGTGCAGCTGAGTCTGCAGTGAACCTGACTGAGAGAGGCATTATCTGAGAAGCTATTGACGCCAATTTATCATTCTGCTTTGTTCTAAATGATTTGTACACAGCTGAGTCTGCAGTGAACCTGACTGAGAGAGAAATACACACAGACTGAAGCTGATATCCGGTGTCCTGAGTTTTATTAGAATCCCATACACAACGCAGATGACGGGGGAGTAGCAGAAGGGGAAGTCTGGCTACAGCAGCACTCAGATTTTGAAGTTGGGTAGTAAGATCTTAACGCCAGCCACAAACTGTACCATTTTTCAAATAACAGTCCCAGCACTGCTGACTGAGTGTGACGACTCATGTTTGTTAAAGCAAGTAGACTTTTTGACTTTCACAAGAAGACATCACACTGGACACACCAGCGTGAACACCAGAGGAAGCACAAGAGGAAGCATCACCAAGGCAACACAGCTGAAACACTACCCACAAATCTGAAACAGCTGCTCTAAAATAAAATGTGTTTTTGTTTCTTCAGTCATACAGAAGAACAAAGCTGTATAAACAAAGACCAATAATGTTGAAATACAAAAGTACAACAGTTTAGAATCAGTGATTTCATTGGGATAAAAACTGATTTGGTTGTAATATGATTGAAGTAAATTCAGTGTAATGTGATACTTTAAATAATTGTGCTGTAATAAATCACTAGTATTCAGTAGGAAGCAGGTGCAGATCATCCCGTATGTTTTATTGGCTCATGCTCAGAGGCCCGAGGAACTATAGGCCAGCCTCACCACCCCTGAACCAACCACTGCTCCCACCCCCCACACTGCCAGTGTAAACTTTACAACCAGCTCAGCAGAAAAATGAACTAACTTCTGTATGAGAAACTTGCCAGCTTGAGTCATTTGTTCAGTAGCACAGCAGCTACACTCAGCTTGTGTCACATAGTATCAGCTGGTATCAGATGACTTCACATAACCATCAACTAATCTAACATGTAAATTAAAACACAAGTACCAATAATTAATCATATTCAGTGAGTCACATAAAAAGAAATTGATGAACCCACAGTAAACTCGAAAAATCTCCACTCTTACAGACTAATATGAAATTGTTCCCTTATAAACGCTCTGATATTCCCTGTGAGGCTGTTAGAGGCCGTGTAGGATCATCTGTTTCAGTCACTGACCAACTTCTCAGCCAAGAAGACACGATTAGTTCAATGACACACAACTGAATAAACCAATTAAACCATCAGCTGATCACACTTTTGTATAAGAACACTTACTAGCCTTTTCTAATGCTATCTAGCTAGCATAATGTAAGGCTAATGAGTTAGCTTGCTAACAGGTAGGCAATAGTAATCTTAATCCAGAAACATTATTAAAGTAGCCGCCGCCTTTGAGTGATATGCAGATTTTGACACAGAACTATCATCTGTTTATTAACTATCATCTGTTTATTATTCTGTTTAAGAGTATGAAGAGGGTGTTATACCTGTGACTGTTGTGGGGGCAATATGTCAACATGGTAGGAGTGTGGAGAAGATTTGAAAAGTGAAGATGTAAAGTCATCAGATCTACTCCTACCGTCTTTTGTTCAGTGACCTGATTGATATTGAACTCAAACTGACACGTTATTAAACCAGTCGATCATAAAGAAGAGATAAAACATTTTTATTTTAATGCCACTTAATGATTATTATTCACTTATTTTATCAAGAATAAAAGTGAGTGATAGATTTGGGTTTTACGCTTTCATGAAAACTTGAAACAAAACTCAAAACACTGGGTTGTGTGTTGGACCCGCCTAGTGCTGTGTCTTTAGTGGATTAAAGCTGAATGTGGAAATGATGGTCTATGGGATTTGGGATGTTAGTGTCAAGCTAGCCGGGTGTTAGCGCTGCGCTCTATTCACATTTGATGCAGCTCTCGTCTCAGGAATGAAAATAACACATTCATTAGTTTTTATGTTTCAGTTTAAAGTCATAAATTGTCTTTATTATTATTATTATTATTATTATTATTGTATTAGCCTGTTAGCATCCTAGCTATCTGTCCTGACTTGCTTAGCCGACTCTAGTGAGAGTAGAATATATTCAGTTACAGAGAAAATAAAGTGTAAACCAGTTAAATAGAGTCTCTAAACACCAGACAGGCTCACACTGATGACATCAGATGGATTCAAAAGAATGTAGTTTCAGGAACAGCAAAGAGATCCTGATCCAGGAACACGTCTCACTTAAAGAATCACATTAACCACTTAATCACTTACCCAGTTCAGAAAACTTCCTCTCCAATCCGTCTCTCTCTTTCTGTAACTGGTCTCTGTCTGTAGTCAGGTTGGTGTAACTGGTCTGTAACTGGTCTCTCTCTATTATCAGGTTGGTGTAACTGGTCTGTAAGTCGTCTCTCTCTGCAGTGAACATGAACCATGGCAGTGTGGTGGCAGTCAGCAGGAGAACACACAGCAGCCCCAGATGCGCTGCGGTCAGTCTGTGGTTTCTGCTGCCTGCAGTGTTGCTCTCTATGGAGAACAGATACAGAGGTGCTTTAGTCATAACCAGTAATCAGGTTTTAGGCACAGATAAACACTGACGAGTCTCTCTTGACTAGTTTGACCACAATGGAGTCACCTGCATCCCCCCAAACTACAAGGGTGCTGTGAGTGGCAGCCTTTCCAGTAGCTCTAGTCTTTTGTGTACTGTTTTTGCACTTTTTCCCTTCTTTTTTCTGTATGCTTATATTGCTATTTTAGTGCAATATAACTGAGCTATCAGGGGTATTTAGCTAAGCTAAAGGCTAAGCTCATGGAGAAACGCTGGAGGTATAAACCATCTATTCCTTCGGTGGTGATGGGGAATGTGAAACTCTTTGGCCAACAAGACAGACAAACTAGCGGTTCGTAATCACCGGTTATACTGGCAATGTAGTCTTTTATGTCTCTCGGAAACATGGCGACATCCCCAATGCTAACGTGGACATTCCCAGTTTCACCACCATGAGAGCAGACAGGGACACTAAACTGGGTGGCAAAAGCAAAGGTGGGGGGGCTCATGCTTTTTGTGAACATCAGATGGTGTAACCCAGGACATATGACTGTGAAGGAGATCATCTACTGTTGGGATATTGAACTGCTGGCGGTGAGTGTCCGTCCCTATTACGTGCCTAGGGAACTGTCCCACGCCATTGTTGTTTGTGTTTACGTTCCTCCTCGCGCGGATGCTGAGACGATGTGTGACGTCATACAAGCAACTATCGTGAGACTTCAGACCCAGCACCCCGAGGCTTTCATTGCTATCTCTGGTGATTTTAACCACATTACACTGGACTCAGTGCTCACTGCTTTTTACCAGTATGTAGACTGCCCCACTAGGAAGAACAGGACAATTGATCTTCTTTATGCCAATGTGAAGGATGCATACACTGCCACATCCCTGCCCCCTCTGGGAAAATCTGATCACAACCTGGTCTACCCACAGCCTCAGTACAAGCCCCATGTCCGAAGACAAGCTGTTGCGATGCGCTCCTTCAGGAAATGGTCTCCTTAAGCCGAAGTGGCTCTCAGGGATTGTTTTGAGTCCACTGAATGGAGTGTACTGCAGGACCCATATGGGGAGGGCACTGAGGGGATTACACACTGCCTGACGGACTATATGAACTTTTGTATGGACATTGTTGTTCCTGTGAAAACTGTGCGCTGCTTTTCTAATAACAAGCCCTGAATAAGCAGCAATGTCAAAAGCCTGCTGAACAAGAAGAAGAGGGCCTTTAAAGACAATAACCAGGAAGAGTTTAGGAGCGTACAGAGGGAGCTCAGAGTGTCCACTTGCGAGAGGCCAAGGAGTCCTACAGGAAGAAGGTGGAGCAGAATTTAAGGGAGAATAACATGAGGGAGGTATGGAATGGTATGAAGACCATTACAGGCTGTAAGCAGAGGATGGACAGTGCGTTAGACGGTGACGCAGAGAAAGCCAGAGAGTTCAACATCTTCTATAACCGGTTTGACTGCCCTGTTCAGATCTCCTCTGCGTCTGTATGTACAGCGGTCTCCTCCACACACTCCCTCTTCTCAGCTCCTGATACTGCAGTCTCTACCCGCCTGGACATCAACACCTCATCTTCTTCTATTGATATTCATGCACCCCTCCCACAGGCTGACAGCACAGACAACACAGCCCCATCTCCCCTGTCTTCATACATTAATATATCTGATATGATCTGCAGCAATGCTGCAGCCCACCCTCCCCCCCGCACATCTTCACTGCAGATCAGGTTAGAGGTGAGCTGAGGAAAATCCACACAAGGAAGGCGGCTGGTCCGGACAAAGTGTGTCTTAGACTACTTAAGTCCTGTGTCTGAACTTGGGGAGGGTTCCCACACTGTGGAAGACATCATGCCTCATTCCAGTACCCAAGAGGGGGTGACCCTGTGAACTCAATGACTTCAGGCCAGTCGTTCTAACATCACATGTCATGAAGATGCTGGAGCAACGTCTTCTACACCTTCTCAGACCCCAGGTTCGACACGCAGTGGACCCCCTGCAGTTCACCTACAGGGAGAAAGTGGGAGTAGAGGATGCCATGCCTTCTCCATTGGGCCCACTCTTATCTGGACAAGGGTGGTTGCGCTGTAAGAGTCATGTTCTTTGATTTTTTTCAGTGCCTTTAATACCATTCAGCCCCTCCAACTGAAAGATGAGCTGGTAAGGATGCAAGTGGATCCGCACTTGGTCTCCTGGATTACTGACTACCTCACTGGCAGACCTCAGTATGTCAGGCTGAAGGACTATACATCAGAGACTGTAGTCAGCAGCACAGGAGCACCACAAGGGACTGTACTTTCCCCTTTCTCTTCACATTGTACACCTCAGATTTCAGTACAACTCTGAGACGTGCCACATGCAGAAGTTTTCAGATGACACTGCCATTGTGGCTTGTGTAAGGGGAGGGCAGGAGGAGGAGACCAAGACCAAGGAGATGGTGGAGGACTTTCGCAGGGATAGGCCACCCACACAGCCAATCTCTATTGAGGGGGTTGAAATGGAGAGGGTAATGACCTACAGGTATCTCGGACTGCAACTGGATGATAGGTTGGACTGGTCAGCCAACACTGACATCCTGTACAGGAAGGGGCAAAGCCGGCTCCTGAAGAGGCTGAGGTCCTTTAACATCTGTAGGAAGATCCTGCAGATGTTCTATCAGACCGTGGTTGCCAGCTGTCTTTTATATGCTGTGGTGTGCTGGGGTGGAAGCATGAAGAAGAGAGACGAGATGGGACTGGACAAGCTGGTCAGGCGAGTGGGGTCAGGGATCACTGTGGAACTGGACTCAACTGGACTGTAGTCAAGGTGGCCAAGAGAAAGACATTACACAAACTGCTCTCCATTATGGAGGATGATGGCCACCCTGCACACCATCATCACGGGCAAGAGGAGCATGTTTA